GACAGCTGATGGCCAGTAGTGTGTGTGTGTGTGTGTAGGACTCCCACTGTTCTTGGCCACAATATACGACCACCTTATAGCGGCTGGGGTGGATATGGGCAGGAAGTGACAGAATCTGATCTAACGTAACGTACTGAGTTTGTGTTCTGTGTGTGGTGTGTGGTGTGTGTGTGGTGTGTTTGAGAGAGACGTTATCATCCACCCACCACGAGAGAGAGAGAGAGAGAGAGAGAGAGAGAGAGAGAGAGAGAGAGAGAGAAGAGAGAGAGAGAGAGAGAGAGAGAGAGAGAGAGAGAGAGAGAGAGAGAGAGAGAGAGAGAGAGAGAGAGAAAAAAAAAAAGAGCCTCCCCACCTTACATAACACCTCCTCATACCATTACGCTGGAGTGAGTCTAGCACGACCTCGCCTTAGTAAATGTCCCAAGTATAGTAACACACACACACACACACACACACACACACACACACACACACACACACACACACACACACACACACACACACACACACACACACACACACACACACACACACACACACACACACACACACGAGATATACACATTGCCAAACCTTTTACACTCTTTAGTATTGTGATGAGGAAAAATGCCATTAACTTAAAATAATCGATTATATCAGAATGAATGCCTGGTGATATATGCTCAAATGTTTAAATTATAAAAAAAATATATATATATGGAAATTAATAATACAAATCTAGAAAAATTCGAATACATGTCAAGTATAGTTTGTTTTTTCAGTCTTCGTCGGCATAACTATTATAAAATATCAAGTCAACTCAATCATGATATGGATTTCAGAGCTTCACTTCCCAGATGTAGGTTAGGTTAGAATAGGTTGTGTTATGTTAGGTTATATTAAGATTCTTTATGTTACTTTGTGTTGTGTTATGTTGTTTAATCATCAGATGAGATAAGCACACACACACGCGCCCCTACATGGTCTTCATCCCTAAATGCCACACAACGTAAACACCTAGAAAAAGTGCAAAAGAGGGCATGCAAGATTATTCTCTCCCCTTCCTACTCCACATATCAAGAAGCGCTCAACACACTGACCTCTTGACTCTCACTGACCATCACCACGACCTCATCTGCAAATTTGGTAAGAAGCTTCTACACCATCCTCGACACCGGCCCTACTACCACCTGAGATCCCAAGCCCGAGAATTGCTGTTCGACACCACAACCGCATCCAGCCCATACGTGCACGAACTGATCGCTATAAGAACAGCCCAGTCCCAACCATTGTAGAAATTATCAATAACTTGTAATAAAACCAGTGTATTCACTCCAGTAAATATTACTTGCACTGTCACTATGTTGAAATGAACTGTAGTTTGAGCTTTTCCCCATCTAGTTATTATATGTCTTATTTGTGTCACTTATGTTACTTGTATATTATTTGTAATTCGTAACCCATTCCCCAAATATGTAACTGTATATTTTCAGCCTTCTGGCTGCCAAGCTCTTTCAATAAACCGTTAATTATTATTATTATTATTATTATTACGCACGCACACACGAGAGAGAGAGAGAGTATGGATGACGGGCAGCAGTCCACACCCACCTGACACAGCTAAAATTCCCCACCTAATTCGAGACAGTATGCAAATGTTACGAGTTGCCGCGGTACCTATCTTACTTGTACGACCTCGTCTGACCTTTGTGACCTTTACAGCTGCACCAACACCACACCCTCCTGGCTTTATTTTCTCGATAACCCTGCTCTCACTTGCTGAGAGAGAGAGAGAGAGAGAGAGAGAGAGAGAGAGAGAGAGAGAGAGAGAGGAGAGAGAGAGAGAGAGAGAGAGAGAGAGAGAGAGAGAGAGAGAGAGAGAGAGAGAGAGAGAGAGAGAGAGAGAGAGAGAGAGAGAGAGAGAGAGAGAGAGAGAGAGAGAGAGAGAGAGAGAGAGAGAGAGAGAGAGAGAGAGAGAGAGAGAGAGAGAGAGAGAGAGAGAGAGAGAGAGAGAGAGAGAGAGAGAGAGAGAGAGAGAGAGAGAGAGAGAGAGAGAGAGAGAGAGAGAGAGAGAGAGAGAGAGAGAGAGAGAGAGAGAGAGAGAGAGAGAGAGAGAGAGAGAGAGAGAGAGAGAGAGAGAGAGAGAGAGAGAGAGAGAGAGAGAGAGAGAGAGAGAGAGAGAGAGAGAGAGAGAGAGAGAGAGAGAGAGAGAGAGAGAGAGAGAGAGAGAGAGAGAGAGAGAGAGAGAGAGAGAGAGAGAGAGAGAGAGAGAGAGAGAGAGAGAGAGAGAGAGAGAGAGAGAGAGAGAGAGAGAGAGAGAGAGAGAGAGAGAGAGAGAGAGAGAGAGAGAGAGAGAGAGAGAGAGAGAGAGAGAGAGAGAGAGAGAGAGAAGAGAGAGAGAGAGAGAGAGAGAGACACAATTCAGGCAAACAAAAATAATAAATAAAAAACACCAAAAATAATTCTTCAACAAAATGCCCCACCAAGCTGTCGATCCAGTTTATAACCTTGAAAGTAATTTATCGGTGACAATGATTGGTGCCGGAGAGGTCTTATGTTCAGAGGAGCATCTTAATTCCCGGGAACCCATAAGTCCACAGCTGTAAATTTAGTGAAGAAAGAAAAGCGCTCTTAAAGAGGATGGAGGAGGGAAGAGGGACAGCCCAGTAATGGGAGGGGCGAAGGAGGAAGGAGGGAAGGGAGGGAGGGAGGGAAGGAGGGCGGGAAGGGGCGAGGGCGGGAAGGAGGGAGGGAAGGAGGGAGGGTAGGTCGGTGAGGGAGTACCACTGTTGCTGTATCACTGGCACTCCTGACTAAGGGCTTAGGTGGCACTGCAGGTGTTTTCTAGATAAGAGGAAGGCGGAGCAGGAGGTCACAGGAGGTCAAATGTGTGTGGTAAAGAAAGGTAGGTGACATGAAAAAGACAGGTGAGAGGTGTAAGTGACAGGTGTAGGTGACAGGTGTAAGAGACAGATGTAGGTGACGGGTGTAAAAGACAGGTGTAGGTGTGGGTGTAGGTGACAGGTGTAGGTGACAAGTGTAAGTGATAGGTGTAAGTGACAGGTGTAGGTGACTACTGATGTAGGTGACAGGTGTAAGTGAAGGTGACTGGTGTAGGTGACAGGTGTAGGTGACAGGTGAGGAAAATGGTAGGAGGGATGAGGTGAGGGTATTATATTCACTCTGGGGGAACTAAGTGGGGAACAGGGACAGAGGCCACGGTCGTCCTTGATGGTACTATACTTACATCTGTCATCATCACCAAGGAGGACCCTCACCTCCAGGTAAGTTATCTTGTGTGTGTGTGTGTGTGTGTGTGTGTGTGTGTGTGTGTGTGTGTGTGTGTGTGTGTGGAGTGAGGGTCGCGTGTGAGGACGTCGTCTCAAGACCCTCCTCTCTGCCCGACCTAAACGCTCATCCCTGATGATTTTCCGATAAACACACACACACACACACACACACACCACACACACACACACACACACACACACACGGTCGATGTTATGACCGCAATGGCGCGTTTTCGGCATAAAATATTAGAGGTCTGTGTCGTCAAATATGAAGAAAAAAAAGTAAAAAAGAAGAAAAGAACCAAACCTAACCTAACCTAACCTAACCTAAAGTAACTTAACCTGACCAAACTTAACCTAACATGATTTAACATTATCTAACCTAATGTAACCTAAGTTTACTACAATAACCTAACCCTAACTTTAAACTAACCTAAACTCCCGTCAGGTAAGCATTAGGTTGAATAATCTTCAGGTGAAAAATTTAACATAAACAAGGGTGTCCAATCTTCAGGTGATCCATATTATCATCCCCTACCTCTCTCTGAATACATGTACGATATATACTTAAGAACTAAAATACGACGGTAGAGAATAGGTTAAAGTCACATATATACTACACATCCAATCATCACTAACTACCCAATTTCACTATCAATCAACCTCAACTGTATATATAAAACAAAATATAAACATTAAAATATGACTGTCAAAAATAAAAATAATAAATTGCCCCCAAACGCACCCCCGAAGCGCACCTACCAAAAATAACACGTCATATTTGGAATTGAGCGGCAGTGTGTGAATGATACTAATTGGCAGGTAATTAAGGTTTACAAATGTGACAAAAAAGTTTTACTGTTGCCAAATAATGTTTTAAGCTAGCGGCATCCCGGACTGTCAACAAATTGCAGCTAATCCCTAGAGTATTATAGTAATATGTTGACCAGTCGGTGTGTGTGTGTGGGAGTGGGAGGTGGAGTGTGTGTGTGTGTGTGTGTGTGTGTGTGTGTGTGTGTGTTAACTGTACTGGAAGATAAAACACACACGCACACACATATCATCATTGTTATCAAAATTTACCTCAAGATAAACCTGCAGGAATACAGAGCAACATTTTCAGCCTCGAAGAACACAACCCACACCACAACACCCCCTCTAAAATAAATGTAAAGTATAACCCAATACACTTAACACAACACTCGGCTTACACACCCACTACTCGCCCTAACTCGCCCTCTCCCATTACAATGTACAGATATTCCTGATCATCCCTAAAATGTCTTCCCAATATATATGTGAGCGGCTTATATTGCCTCCTGCACCTTCTACCTGCAGGTTTGTGTCACACTTAAACTCATAACCACCGTCAATATATCACTGATCACCTTTCCTGTCGTCCACTACTACTCGGCTAAGCAGTTACCTGACAACACGGACAAGGCAACACCGCCATGGCTTTATAATACTTCTGTGGGTAAATAAGGCTGGTAGATTAATGTATCAAACACCCATATCTCGGGGCCGGCCGCTGACTGGGGCGCCCCTAGTCGACCCAACTACAGAATGGAGAGTCGAGTAGGAAATGTTGACTCAGTGGGTGCAACCTTACATACAGACTAACCTTCTTACTGTCTCACTGATACAAACATAAATACATACATACATACATACATGCAGGCTTGTATAGATACTCATACATACACATAATACTGCCACAGATATACTCACCACAGCGGCGGGCACGTAGGTGGGTATAGTTTCGAAGTACTGAAGAGATGACGTGTAGGACCTGAGCACGAAGTAGATAATGAGGTAGAATGTGCCTAGCAGGACGGCCGAGGTGCCACACGTGCCACACAGCAACACGTACTTCCTGTTCCAGCTCCTCCACCACGGCCGGGAGCGATCTGTCGTAAGGAGGCTACTGTTAGCAGGGCACTGGTGTGGTTATTACGACTACAATACTATTACTACTCCTACTACAACTACTATTACCATTGTTATTGTCATTATTATTATTGTTTTTTATTATTATTACTATTACTACATTTGTATTATTCTTCTTCTTATTATTATACATTATTATTACTCATTATTGTTATTATTCTTATCATTATCATTCCTATTATCAGCTATTACCATAAAATCCAATTGGGAAATAGATCAAGAATTCATTAAGGTAAAAACACAAAAAATCAAATCGTCTCAGCCACTCACAGGAGACGACCGTTTATAACCTGCCTAAATCGATTATACGGGGTGTTTATAAAGTCCCTATCTATTTCAGTGAAATAACAGTTTTTATTGATTTTTATTGCCATGAAGAAGAATGTGCAAGAACGTGTGCTGGTGGTAACACTGCGTATTCAAGGAAAGAAATGCAAACAAATTAGAAATAACTTTCAAAGAAAATCTCATAAGCCAGGTCCTACAGACAAGACAATACGCGAATTGTTGAATAAATTCCAAAGAACGGGATCTGTTAATAATGAACCAGGATCTGGACGTCCACGTGTCTCAGATGCTGCTGTAAATGCAGTACAAAATGCTAGCGTTTTATAATTGAATTTAACACATTTACCCATTATTTCACTAAAATAGATAGGAACTGTATAAACACCCTGCACAGTATCAACAACAGAACCCAGAAGTAATACACTTTTTCCAGGGGCAACGCTTGTCATTGTTTCATCAAAAAGTCCAGGATACCCAAAGGTTCTCTAAAATATATCTTCCTTTTAAATGTTGTTAAGAACGTATATCAAACTGGATGACTAAAAGCCAGATATATATAAAGTAAAAAACAAACACAGAATGACTTTATTAGATACATCCAATTAACACCAATTCGCAAACAAACCCAACATCCAGATTGGTTTCAAAGGTGACATAGAGACTACATCACACTACCTTAACCTAATACCAGTTAATGGGACAATATCAACAGGGAGAACCATTACACAGTCCACTACTAAAGTCAGTTCGCCTCTCCTCCTGAACCACGAACCCACCAAGATTCAGACTCGTGAACCCGAAGCACAAGAATGATACATTATTCTGTACATCCGGGTCTCTGGTGATGAGGTAAGTGGCCCCTCAAGCTCCATATGTAAAACAAACAAAAATAAATCCGCAAATAAATAAATAAAATAAATAAATCACCCTTCCTCCTGTGTATACAATGAAGGGGAAGAATAGAAACAGATTCCTCACAACTCACAAAATCCCCCTCGAGGTTAAAAAATTTTCCCCCTTAATTGGCGATTTGAGAACCCATCTACCTACCTGGTCCCTATCACACACACACACACACACACACACACACACACACACACACACACACACACACACACACACACACACACGACCATACCTTGGCAATGGAAATACTAACATGGGGCTTCATATATATGAGTGTGAGAGCTTGAGGTAGGAGCGTGAGGTGTGAGGAAGCAGTGTAGGAGCGTGGGTGTGAGAGCGCGAGTGAGAGCATAATAGATAAATAACTTAAGGAGGTGTGAGCATGAGAGCGTGTGAGCATGAGTACAAGAGATAACTAGCTCAAGATCATCATGGTAACTAAGACAACAGTACCGTCTCCTCTCAACTCTACTGCTGAAAGTCTATTGAGATGATGACAGCCAGGTAAGTCTATTGAGATGATGACAGCCAGGTAAGTCTATTGAGATGATGACAGCCAGGTAAGAGTACATCACCTTCCACCGGTGAGTACTAATTGGACTCTAGCTCCTAATGGACCTCCTTATTATAACATATGCTAAGTTAACCTCTCCATTATAGCAATAGGGACCAGTCATAATGGATCCCAGATATAATAGGCACAGTTTTGATGGGTAGAGGGAATAGGGTATAGGGGAAGGGGGGAGAAAGGGTGGAGGAGGGAAGTGGGAGGGAGGGAAGGGGAAGAGATAGAGGAAGGTGCAGGGGATAGGGGGTAGGAGGAAGGGAGGTGGGGAAAGGGGGTGGAGGAAGGAGGAGGTGGGGAAAGGGGATAGGAGGGATGACGAAGGGGGTGGGGAGAAGGGGTGCAGAAGGGGAAGGGGGGGAAAGGGGGAAGAGGAAAGGGGTAGGAGGAAAAGGTGTAGGAGGGAAGGGGGGAGAAAGGGGATAGGAGGGAAGGGGGAGAAAGGGGATAGGAGGGAAAGGGTGTAGGAAGGAAAAGGGGGAAGAGGAAAGGGGTAGGAGGAAAAGAGGGTGTAGGAGGGAAGGGGGAAGAGGAAGGGGTAGGAGGGAAAGGGGTGTAGGAGAGGAAGGGGAAGAGGAAGGGGAAGAAAGGGTAGGAGGGAAAGGGTGTGGGAGGGAAGGGGGAAGAGGAAGGGGGTAGGAGGGAAAGGGTGTAGGAGAGGAAGGGGGAAGAGGAAAGGGGTAGGAAGAAAGGGGTAGGAGGGAAAGGGTGTAGGAGAGGAAGGGGGAAGAGGAAAGGGGTAGGAGGGAAAGGTGAAGGAAGGAAAAGGGGGAAGAGGAAAGGGGTAGGAGGGAAAGGGGGAAGGGGGAAGAGGAAAAGGGGGGTAGGAGGCCGCATTACACGCATGTCAGCTTTTGTTCACTGGGACGTTTGTCAGCTGGTACAAAATTGGTTCAAAAGTTATATATTTTGTGTACTGGTTATAAATGAATACGTCACTATGGCCCGGGGAGGGATACAAAACTTCTAAAAAACAATTATCCTTTGTCAATATCCCACTGTAGTGACTTATATACTATTACTTATAATCATTACTTAAGAGTCGACTATAAGTGTGCTAATATAAACTAATTCATTATTTATCATTGTCACTTACGCTCAACACTTTAATAGTCGAGTACAAAGAGTCGAAAATTACTGTAAAAACAGACATACATTCGACCTACTGTAGTTGAATCTTACTACAGTAGCCTCACTAACTACAGTATATTGCTATGGCTATATTCCGTCAGACATATCGAAGTAGTATTACTCATTGGGTCATCTCGCTCTACTAAGCCTAAACCAACACGCAACTGTCTTAGATAACTTCCACTGCCTGCACGGAAGATGGTGATGATGGGGGTGATAGTGGTGATGATGATGGTGGTGTTGTTGGTGGTGGTGTTGATGGTGGTGGTGGTGATAGCGGTGATGATGATGGTGGTGTTGATGATGGTGGTGTTGGTGGTGATGATGGTGGTGGTGGTGGTGATGATGATGATGATGATGATGATGATGATGATGATGATGATGATGATGATGATGATAGTGGCGACGCTCTTACTTCAACCACTTCCTGGTATTAAATGTTACACAGAACCTTGGAGAAAATTGACTCGTATACAAAGACCACAAATTACAGCCTTTACACACGACATCTGTTGAGACGTGATCCTATGAGAGAGAGAGAGAGAGAGAGAGAGAGAGAGAGAGAGAGAGAGAGAGAGAGAGAGAGAGAGAGAGAGAGAGAGAGAATATGAATTAATTTACCACATCGTTGAATAATAATATATTTTTGATGTAACCTAATTATTATAACTACAGAGCTGGCCACCATTCAACGGTCTTTCATATGTTTTTATACTATATATTTAGGAATTTATTATATATTTTTCATTAGAATTTGTTACTAATAAATTCTCTTAATTCACAAGAGCGTACAGTACAGCCGGACAGTGATGGAGGAATGAGGGAGTCACTGACTTCTGTGATGACTGAATTGGCATAACATTGTACCGGGAGGTGGAGGTAGACCGTGTGCCACAGTGTGCGGGGATTCCAAGACCTCGGGGTGTGACATTAATGGGGAGACTGTGGATTTGTGGTGGAGGAAGGAGGAAAGGCTGAGGAAGAAGGGGGGAGGGGAAGGGGGGAGGAGGAAGTGGGAGGGAAGGGGTGAGGAGGAACTGGGAGGGAAGGGGTGAGGAGGAACTGGGAGGGAAGGGATGGGGAGGAAGTGGGAGGGAGGGGTTGGGGAGGAAGTGGAAGGAAGGACTCTCCATAATTGTTAAAACTGTGCAACACGGATATGAAAATAACAAGACAGGCTAGTGGGAGCAGCCAGCCAGCCAGCCAGCCAGCCAGTGTAAAGGTAAAACGACACACAAAGTTACTGACACAAAAGTCATGCCACTAGAAAGGTTAAAGGCAAGATCTTGTAGACTTGAAGAGAGAAAAGACGAGGACGAGACGCAATTACTGACATACAAGTTATCAAAATAAAAGTGGTTCCTATACACATGACTTCTGGGTTTAGGAACAGTGTGGAGCCAAAGCACCGTATACTAAGCCTTCGTTACACACAAGGAAAGCATGAGCGTGATGGCAGACATCGCTTGAATCGACCGCCTTCACAGCAGAGTGGACCGAGAGCGCCTGGGGGGATCAAACCAACGACCCTTAAGACACGAGGTGAGCTCTGTATCCACTCGGCTGCCGCATCCCACAAGGTATAAAATGAGAGGTTTACAGATAAGCTCGATGGACCCGGAGACAGAAAAGGCGAAGAATGAAACACAAAACCCAAGACCCTAGGGAACAGGAAGCTAAGAATAACCTCAGTGGACCTTGACGACAGAGTGGTGACACAGGAGACTCTCAAGAACACATGTACTCGTGATATAGTTTACAGTCAAGAACGAGAAACTTAAATAAATAACATAAGTGGATCTTGTTATTTTTAAAGACCTATAATAGGATGTTAAAGTGGGGGGTAGAGTACTTTACCAGTATTTTCAAAGTTCACACTGTACCTTTAAGCATTCTACTTTCCTTCTATTATCCAAAAAGTAATCATAGGAGGATATAATGGCTCGTTTTACATCTTTCAGTAATTGTGTTATAATCGAAAGAGCCGAGCCAGGGTACAGAGGAAGAAAGGAACAGAGAGAAAACTTTTATTAAAATCCGGGAGAGAAATCTTGGTACACAGTCAACAATGGGAGCGGCGGGGAAATATGCGACTGAAGTGTTGTTGTTGTGGTGCGGTCAGGGATCCTGCCAGAGAAAAATGTGTGTGTATGTGTGTGTGTGTGTGTGTACTGACATAACTCAAATATTTGTCAGGCAGGGACATGACGTACAGTATATGCTCTTTCAAAAAAGCCAAAATTGTGTTAAAAATAACAAATAAATAAATATGTTACACAACAATCACAGCTTTGGTAGGATAAAAGAATTTCATATTTTTGATTAAGGAAAGGAATTCGAAAGCCGGTTTTCCAGTCAAAATATTCGTCTTACGAAAAAATAAAAAATACCCTCAGTCTCATCACTCACACATAAACATAAACGTATATATGCATAAGGACAAAGCCTATAGATACAAGAAAGAGAATCATAGCTGTAAGTGTTGACATACTACCTTGGTCATCCGTGGGTTCCTCATCCAGCATGTAAACCGTCTCCTCCCTATCCTCACCCAGAGAGTATAAGGGAGTTAAACGCCCTATGTTCATACTGGGATACCTTCTCTTCTCTCTTCTCGATGCTCACTTGTTACACTCGTCATCATAACTATAGTGTTTCTACCTAACTTTTATTTTTCATTTTCTCACTCATACTTTTCTAAGGCTACATCGTTAAGGAATTTAAACGCTCTATGTTCAAACGTTCTCTTCTGTTTCCTCGATGCTTACTTGTTACACTTGTCATAATAAGTAGATTGTACCCATTTTTTTTTCTTTCTCTTATACCTTTCTAAAGCTACATCATTAAGGGAGTCAAACACTCAATATTCATAACGGGATACCAGACCTCTTCTCTCTTGCCGTTGCTCACTTGTTATGTTTGTCATAATAAGTACTTTTTATCTAACCTTTTTCTTTCTCTTATACTTTTCTGAGGCTACATCGTTCATGGATGTGGATACAGAGCAGCATATTGACATTTAACACCCGGGGTTTGAGATTTAAGTGTAAAAATTCTCCATCTTTTTCGTTCAATATTCTCCTCTGAATTCCTAATATTCCCGCCACGTTGAAAATCTGTTTCCGATATCTCGTTATAGTTATATAAAGATTCGCGAGCACTATTTCCTGAACATCAGAATCAGAAATTGATGCAATAAAGTCTAAAGTCTTGGCATTCAAATA